GGAGCGCTCCCCAGCCTTCCCCCCGCGGCTCCCAGCGCTCCTCAAGAGCTGCTCCGGCCGCTCCCAGGGCGGGAAGTAGGGAGAGGGAACCGTGGGGAGGACTCCTCGAGAGCATCGGCCGCCCGCAGTCCACACTTAGCCCCTGCCCGCCCCCCACTGCTTCTCCCGGGAGGGGGGGGGGACACGCGGAGACCCGAGAGGGGGGACCCCAGGAAAAGATGGACATCCCCCTCCCTAGGCTATGGGCTCTTGCCATTCTCCCCTCCTCCCACTCCCACAGGCTTCGCACTTTCTGAGTCCTGTGGATTTCGGAGGCCTTGAACACACACATACACACACACACACACACACACACACACCGCCCCAGGAATCTCCGCTTGCAGCAGGGACCCCGGCTTCTCTCCCCAACTTATTCCTACTTTATCTCCCCAAGCCCATTCGCAGTACAATATTGCCCCATAGTCCAGCAGACTAGGGATGGAAGGTCCTTGCCCCTCCTCTGAAATACCCTGGACCTCTGCACCCCGCCCCGGCGCCAGTGACCTGGCCACCCTCCTCTCTGGGGGCTCCAGTCCCGCTCAGGGCAGGACCCACACAATCTCCAAAACCAGCCTCAGAGCAAGGAAACGTCTCACCCCACCCGCCACACCTTAGGTGGCTCTGGGGATAGATTCTCTTTTTCACTTCCAGGACAGAATAAAAATACCCGCAATTTAGGAGATGTAATCGACGGCAGGGAATCAGGTCAGGACATGGAGGTGCCTCTTCCCTCCCTGTCCTACTTTGTGCGGTGGCAGGGGGCTGGGCGCTGAGGGTGGGAGAGGGGCTGGGGGGGCCCGGCCTCGACCTGGCCGGGGCCTGGGGACTGGAAAATCGCGGAGTGCGAGGGTGTGGACGCCACGGCCCCAGGGGAAATTCCCCAGAAGGAGGGATATGCGTGGGGACAGGAGAAGGTACAGGGTGGGCTGGAAGAGGCGGGTTCTCACGGAGGACCTGGGAAAGGGAACGATTCAAGACTCTAATCTCTCAGGATCCCAATTCTCCCTTCCTTAGGACTCAGGGTCCCAGAGAAGACCTCCTCCAACCCTAAACCTTCTATTCTTTACCAAGGGACAAACCCTAACCCTAACCCGTGTGTAAGTTCTTCTTGATGTCTGATTTAAACCCCAACTCGGTCGACTCTCAAGGGCCCTGGCTTCGACCTGGCCGGGGCCTGGGGACTGGAAAATCGCGGAGTGCGAGGGTGTGGACGCCACGGCCCCAGGGGAAATTCCCCAGAAGGAGGGATATGCGTGGGGACAGGAGAAGGTACAGGGTGGGCTGGAAGAGGCGGGTTCTCACGGAGGACCTGGGAAAGGGAACGATTCAAGACTCTAATCTCTCAGGATCCCAATTCTCCCTTCCTTAGGACTCAGGGTCCCAGAGAAGACCTCCTCCAACCCTAAACCTTCTATTCTTTACCAAGGGACAAACCCTAACCCTAACCCGTGTGTAAGTTCTTCTTGATGTCTGATTTAAACCCCAACTCGGTCGACTCTCAAATGGCAACAACTAGGCTGCCGCTTCCAGCTGCGGCGTCTTGCTGCCCCCCAGCGGCCACGTGGCGACACTCAGCGCTCACATTTCGCGGTTTCCCTCACCTTCCCTGCCTGCCGCGAGGCTGTCCGCGACCTCTGGCCCTGGGAGTCCATGTCGCCCCTAACTTCCCGGAGGTCAAGGTGAGATGTCCTGGGACAGAATTCCAGCTGGGACCATGGTGTCTGTACATTTCCCCGTTTCGGGGTGCCCCGCGGTCTGTCTCAGGTCCTTTATAAGGGCTCAGGCTGAAACGGCAACTTGGAAATCAATGCTGCGTCCGCGTTTTTCGGTGCAAGGCTGTAGAACTTGAGCGCCCGCAGAACCAGTGGAGAACTTGCTCCCTACAGATTCTCGGGCTCCGCTCCACGTTCCGAACTCAGCAGGTGTGCGACGAGGCCCGAGCACCTGCATTTTCAGCACGCACCCGGGCGTTACTGCTCAGGTCCCGGGCCCACATTTTGAGAGCCACTGCTCGGAAATTCCCCAGCTCCTCGCACTCCGCCACCGCGCCTCCTCTGACCGAAAGAGAGTTAGAGAGGAGGGGAAAAGAATGTGAACATGACGGGGGTGGGGGGGTATCTGAAAAGTTCTTGCCCAAGACAAAGGAGTTGAAGCCTTTAAGGAGGGGGAGGCCCCCTGCAGACGCCGAGGGGAGTCGATTTGTAATCAGTCGCTCCCCTGCTGAGCTGACGGTGGCCACAGGTGGCCTAGTAGTGCTGCTGCTGCGCAAGCGCCGTGGCGAGTTTGCAAAGAAATGGAAAACTGGGTCGGTGTGCACGGGATGGAGAGAATAGAAATCCCAGATTACTCACTTGAAAACAAGGTTGTTTCTTGAAGCTCCGAGCCAAAGATTCCTACTCGCAGTGTAAGAAAAATGAAATCCGCAGGTGCGAAGGGGAACTCCGCGGAGACACTTGGGGGAATCCCTCGTTTTACCGGCGTTGCTCTAGGTGTGTCCCAAGCTTGTTTTACCGGCGTTGCTCTAGGTGTGTCCCAAGCTTGAGCCCTACCGGAGCGCCCTTAATGCTTCTTAGCGCCTTTCACCCTCCCACAGGCTCACGAGGCTTACCGCTCCCCCTTCCTTCCTCAGTCCAAGGCTGGCCATTAAAACTCATCATTTTTCTTTACCCCATATGCGCAGGTCGGGGGCAGGCCAGCCTCCACCCTAACACTACAGAGCCGGCGGTCTGCACCGTCCTCCAGATGTCAGCCGGGAGTCCTAGCCCTGCCTAGCCCTGCGTCCACACTTGGACATACACACAGACAGAGCAATCGGCAGGACCAGAGACTCCCTCCTCACCCATCTGGCCTGTAAAAGTGGGGAGCGGGGGTGGGAGGGTGGGGTGGGGAACGGGGGTTGGAGGCAGGCTCCTGTCTACAAAGAATTTTTTTTCTTGTTTCTTTTTTATTTTTAAAAATTTCTTTATTATTATCATGATCTTGTTTATATTACATTGAATCACATATAACTTCACAGTGCGTACAAATAATTTAAGTGACCTGTATAGGATCTAGCAGAACACAAAAAAAATTGCTACAACCCAGAGGGGGCACCCGGATTTGAACCGGGGACCTCTTGATCTGCAGTCAAATGCTCTACCACTGAGCTATACCCCCTCTGCTGGCGACTGGCCGCAGGTGGCCCCTTGGCGCTGCTGCGCAGGCGCCGTAGCGAATTATTGAAGAGATGGAAAATTGGATGGAATGTGTTCGAGAAATGAAGAGCCTGTAAATTCCCGGAAGGTACTCGCTTGGAAACAAAGTTATTTCTTGGAACTCCGAGCTAAGATTCCTACTCCCCGTGTAAAAGAAATGTGATCGGCAGGTGCGGAGGGAAGTCTGCGGAGACGCTTAGAGCTCTCGCTTTGGTCGCTCTCCGGGTCCCACGCTCCGGTCCTACCGGAGCCCGGGTCCTGCTTCTCACCGCCTCTTTGAGCCCCTGCAAGCTCACACAGCTTCTCCTGGCCTTCCTTTCCCAGCCCATGCCCGGACCTGAAAACTCAGCCTCCCACCCATACGGCAGGCCGACCCTGGGGCGCGCCGACCTCTGCCACACCATTAAGAGGCCGTCCGTAGCGTCCTCTTGGGGTTAGCGCAGATCACTTCGTCCTCACTTGACCTGGATCCCACCCTTGGGCACACAGACAGAGCCACAGACAGGACCTGAGACTCCACCGTCTCCGGTCCGACCAGAACACTGTGATCAAACCCTAACGACTGCCGTCTTACCAACGATTCCCTTCGTACGAAGGAATTTGTGAAGTAGACTATGAGTAATGAAACGAGAGGCGGCCTTGGGGGAGAGGTAAAAGGTAGGGGAAAAAGTTCAGTCGCAGAGGGGGCACCCGGATTTGAACCGGGGACCTCTTGATCTGCAGTCAAATGCTCTACCACTGAGCTATACCCCCGCGCGTTGGCGTTATCTTGTTGGAATACTTTTCTGTCGAATAAGGTGAGGTACTATTCGTTTTTTTTTTTTTTTCTCCTGTAGCTTTGACCTGAGGATTAGGTCAAGATAACTTCATGGAAAAACACAACAAAACACCATGGAGACAGCTAGAATTCCTAACTTCTTCCTCCATAATCACAGTCCAGGCAAACTACACATTAAGGAATGCTGATTCAAAACTCCTGCCAGACTTGGAAAGGGAAAGACCCACTGCCCCCAGAACCATCCCAGGTCTTCTAAGACTAAGCACTGTCCCCCACCCCCCAACCCAGCGGACAGGTGAGTAGCCTGGGTCTCCAACTCTACCAGATAGGATTTCTGGGCTTTTCCAGTCTCAAGGGCCTCTCTTCCCCTTCTCCATCAATCAGTACCAAATCATTCCCTTCCCCAGACCCAGGCAAAGCCGAGCACTCCCAGTCAAGCCCAGTACCATCCCCCTAGCTGGCTGGACCCTTGAGGCAGGTCTCCACTGACCATTTCTAAAGTGGATTTTTCCAAGAGTTTTGCACAAGATCCAAAAGTCAGTTTGAGAAACAGACAGAAAGGACAGACAGAAATAAAAGGTGAGCAGTTTTCTATGGCATTTATTACATCTTTATAAAAATCCTAATTTTAAGAAAAAGTCATTACACAAAGATGAACAGAACAAGCAGGTCTGAGGAGTGGGCTTCATGGTGGGGTACTACTGGGAGGCTCAAAGCTCCAAAGCTGAGGTAGAGGCAGCAACTCAGAGGGGAGGGGAGGAGAAGGAGGAATGGAACCCTTGCAGTGCCAAGGAGAGGAGGACTGTCCCTGCCTGGGTGTCATATTCTGCCCTCTTTCCTCTCCTGGCTTTTGGCTCTGCCCTTCTCCCCCTGAGCCCACCCCCTTCACCCTTCTGGAATCTCCTTTGCCCAAAGCATATGGGACAAAAATGGCTGAAGGGCCAGAAAGCTGGGACGGGGGTGGGAGATTGTGTGGTCATAGGAACTGAAGAGCAACTCTGGGGTCTCTTACTCTGCCCCCAGCACACATATTTTTCCTACGCAAAGACTGAGTGCTGCAAATAGGGAGAAGGCTCCACCTCCTAATCCCTCAAGACATCTAATAGCTTCCTGGTGTCTCCAAGGACAACTGCAGCGTGGAATATGGGGCAGCTTTTTCTGCTGCTCTGTCTGCAGCAATTCAGGGTCTTCGTGCCAGCTCCCCCTCCCGAGGGGCTGGGCAGACAGTGGCAGTCTCACCATCCATAGCTGCCTTGCCCCCACCAGAGAACCATAGACAAATAATAGATATCACATGGGCTTCCCACCCACGCTGACCATGCAAAACCCCAGAGAGACCGCTGGCCGTGGGCTGGGACGTCAGTGGGCTGTGGCCTGAGCGTGCATCCACTGGAGCCCGGCAGGAAGCCTGCAGGGAGGGAGGAGCAGAGCAGTCAGCATTATCGCATAGGGTGACAACCTTCGAGCCCCCAGCCCCTGCCCGAGCAGACCCACGGGTGACCAGGGTGACACCCAGATATTCAATCAACAAAGACAAACTGCCTTGAGTACCTGCTGTGCTTCGGGGACTGTGCTAGGTAGGAGCTGGTTACTCCAAAGCTCCCAGTCTGCCGAGGAGATGGACGTTAAACAAACGGACACATAATCCTACAGCTACATTCTGTGATAAAGGTTGGGAAGGAGATGTACAGAGGTCTCTGGATGACTGAGAGACAGGAAGGCTTCTTTGAGGAAGAAGCCTGGGAACCCACCGTCCTCGGCCCCTTAACCATGTCTCTGGCCAAGGCTCAATGCCCACCACCTACCTCCTCCATCAGTGGGTGACCTCAAAGGCTTGGGAAGCAGCCCCACCAGTTTCCCCACTAGACCCAGGCAGCACCAGAGCAAGGGTGGAGCCTTGGCCCTCTCGACATCATCTCAGCCTCACCCAGCACGTGGGTACTTAGGAAATGCTGGTTGAACTGAACTGACTGTGGATTGGGGGTGAGGGGGGGGCCTCCTGACCCAGGGGCTTGCAGATGACCTGGTGGTTAAGGTAGCTAGATCCCACACAGCCCAGCATGTCGTGGCTGGAGTCCCAACCTCTATGGCTTAAAAAACACCAGGGCATATGTGCACGTGTGCCCAAAAGGCCAAAAGGAGAGGGAAATGGGGGAGAAGGGATTGTAACATCGCCATGTCCCACGGGGGGTGCTTTCTCACTTTCTCTCTCTCTCTTTCTCTCTCCAAGCACACATGCCCTCAGGCAAAAATTTAAAAAGCAAACAAAATAACCCCGACATCTGGGAGCCCAGCCTGCCACCATTCTGCTTGAGAAGAACAAGGTACAGAACTTCCTCCCGATGCTGCCTCACATCCACGTTTGCTCAGTAGCTACCCTCTGAGCAGCCCTTTCCTGGACCTTACCTAGAATTGCAACGTTATCTCCACAGACTTCCAACATCCCTTTTCTTCTTCCTTTTTTTTTTTTAAATTATTGTTATTTAACTTTATTTACTTTTAATTGACCAGAGAGGGACAGAGTGAGAGAGACAGAGAAGGGAAGTGAGAAAGCAAGCCACCAGGTCCGGGACTCAAACCTTGTTCGGCCATGTGGGAGTCCAGAGCCCTTAACCACCATGCTACCTGCCGGCCCCCCAACACCCCTTTTCTACTCCCCTCCTTTGTATCTATCTTTGTTACATGCTATAAGTAAGCAGGTTAACGTACTGTGTGTTTTTCTTGTTTATTGTCTGTCTCCCCCACTGAAAAGTAAGTTCTGTGAAAGCAGGGGTTGCTTTGTTCTCTGCTTTTGCTCCAATGCCTGTCACAGGTGACGTTGCTCCTCAAAGGTTTGCTGAGTGAATGGTGTCATTTACTCCCACAGAAACCCTAGGAGGCAGTAGGTGTGGATGTCCTGCTCTTCACAGAGAGGAAAGCTCAAGGTCAGGACTCAGTGATTCCTGCCTGGAAGGCTGGTCCCCAGGTCTTTCCCTGGCTGTTTCCTCTCCATTCAGGTCTCAGCCCAAAAGTCACCTCTGGGTCTAGCAGGTGGCATGGAGGTAAAGGTAAATGGATCCCATATGGCCAGCTGCATAGTTTGATTCCAGACCCAGCAGCTCAAAACACATTCTAGAAGCATGTGTGTGGGTGCCCAAAATCTGAAGGGGAGAATAGAGGAGAAGGGATTAGGGAGTGCTTTCTTATTTTCCCTCTCTCTCTCTGTTTCTCTGTCTCTCTCAGGTGAGCACACATCCCCTATAACAACAACAAAAAAGGTCACCTCTGAAGAGAGGCCATCCTTGGTCATCAAAGCTAAACCAGACCCATCACGGCCCCCTCTATCACTGCTATCCAGTTTCCCTTTCTTTCTACCACTCCTCAGTACTTCAATTCTTGTGTTTAGGTGGGGTTTCCCTGACCACCACTCCACCTCCTTTTTTTTTAAATCAATTTTTGCCAGAGTGTGTGTGCACTCACTAGAGAGAGAAGGAAAGAGAGAAAGCAGCCCCAACGGGGCGCGGTCATAGTTGCAATCCCTTCTCTATTTCTCCCGACTCAGGATTGGGGGCACTCATGCGTGTTTCTCAAGTGTAGGGTCTGGGACTCACATCAGTCAGTCAGCTATGTGGGGCCTGGCCATCTTAACCACCATGTCTCAGACTGGCCCCAAGTGTTCCTTGGTTTATTCTTAAGAGGAAGGCTGTCAGGACCAGCAGTTGGTGTAATGACTATGTCACTGGACTCCCATGTAGTCGACCATAGTTCAAGTCCCAGGCCTGGTGATTTAAACTCATGCCAGGTGCGTGTGCGTGTGTGCCCAAGATCCTGAGAGGAGGATGGAGGAGAAGTGATTGCGGCATGGCCATTCCCCTGGAGGATGATTTCTCACTTTCTGCCTCTCTGTCTCTCTGGTGAGCGCACACACCCTATACCAAAAACCTCTCAAAAAAAAACGCAAAAAAAAAAAAAAAAAAAAAAGCGGGGGGGGAAGAGAAGGGCTGTCTGGCTCACTGCTTACCCACAGCATATCAGCTGTGGGTCAGTGCTCAGCTGACTGGGCCCTGAGCCAGCTGTGAACCTCTGCTGCCAGGAGAGGGACTGAAGGGTTCTGGTAGTCTGCCGTCCATTGGTTGGACCAGTGCCTGGAGGTCCGGATGGGGAGCTACTAACCCTTCCCCAGTGAGGGCACAACAGGCCTGTATATGCCACGGGTGGTCTTTGATGGCACTGAGACTCAGGAACTGGGAGATCTCCATGGTGGTCATGGAGCCCTTCATATCCTGCTTGTTGGCAAAGATCAGGACCGAAGCATCTCGAAGAGCCTGCGGACAGAGAAGCCCAGTCCCAGTCAGCGAAGGTCCAGTATCCCCTTTCCCTGTCCCGTGTGTCCTCGCTGGCTCTCACCAGCAAGAGAGGCCCAGGCTGGGGGGAGGGATGACTACATCAAGTGACATCTACAGCTGATAGAATGCCTCCCTACCTACTCACATAATCCTTACAACCATCCCACATGGTGAGAATTGATGATCCTACTCATTTTAGACTTAGGGAAACTAAGGATTAGAGAGGCATAGTATCTAGGGTCCCACAAGGAGTGAGAGGTGGGATCAGGGCTTGAACTAGCAACTCTGGCTTCTGTGATCAGTTGTGTTCAGGGCATTGTCATCTGAGACATGCATGAAGCAATCCCATGCTGCTGAGATCCAGGCTCCGAGAGACTTCAGCATCAGGGATGAAGCTCAGAGAGGCTGTGACTAGCCTGAGGTCTCACAGCTAGCACCATTGGGCCCTCTCCCTACTGCAAGGGGCTTACCTCATGGGCCAGCATCTTATACAGTTCCTCCCGGGTGGTCCACAGCCGATCCCGGTCTGTGCTGTCAATCACAAGGATGATGAACTGGCCAGTAGAGAGGAGTCATGAGTGGCAGGTGAGCCACTTGCTGTTTGGTTTCTTGCCCACTGCGCTGCCCCACTCGCCTCCACACTGCCCAGATACCAGCCCCAAAGAAAAGAACCTGCAGTTTTAAGACCTCCCCACCTTGGTCCCACCTTGGTAACTACCTTTTCTGCAGAGACCTCTGGTTGCGCACCAGAGGCTGTGCTAAGCCCCAGCAGTCATGGCTTCTGTAGGCCTTGCCCCGTCCCTGTGCGATCAGAGCTATTATTATCCTCATTTTCCAGCTGAGGAGACCAAGCCTCAGGGCAGTTATGTATCTTGCCCTCGGCCACACAGCTGGTGAGTGGCAGTCCTGGAGTTCAAACCCAGCTCTGTCTCACTCCAGGGATGAGACCACTGAATTCTACTCCTGCCAGAGTAAGAAAGTAAGACCCCAGAGACAGGGCCTACCCCATCCAGTGCGTCAGACAGAAAGCTGCCGGCCTGCAGACAATGCTGCTGGGAAGGAATCAAAATATGAACGGGCACTGCACCACGCTGAATATGACTCATGTGCACTAGCTATTATATATTTCTCGAATACTTACGTATTTAATTTCATTTATTAATTATTGCTATTTCTTAATTTAATAAGAGAGAGAAAGGGAAAGTGAGAAAGCAAGCCTCCAGGTCTGGGACTCATGCCATGTGGGAGTCCTGGGAGTCCAGTACCTTAACCACCACACCACCTGCAAGCCTCAATTTTTTTAAACATTTTTTGCTATAGAGTGTGTGCACTCAACAGAGAGAGAAAAAGACAGAGAGAGAGAGAGAGAGAGGAAAAGTGAGAAATTGCACCCTCCCACATGAAGGTGGGGATGGCCATGCACAATCCCTTCTCCAGTCTCCTCTTGGAATTGGACACGCATGCACACGTGCCCAGTGTGACTTTCAAGCCACAGGTCCAGAACTCAGACCATGCAGTTGGCCGTGCGGGATCCTGGCCCATAGATATTAATAACTTTTAATTTGCCATAGGGTGCATGCCCTTGCCAGAAAAAGACAGTGAGATGAAAGGAAGAGGGAGAAAAAGAAACATCTCCCTAGTAGGGCATGGTCATGTTAGGGACCAGCAATTGGAGTAATGGCTATGTCACTGGACTCCCAGGTAGCTGACCAGAGTTCGAGTCCCGGACCCAGTGGCTTTAACTCACGCCAAGTGCATGTGTGTGCATGCCCAAGATCTCGAGAAGAGAATGGAGGAGAAGGGATTGCAGCATGGCCATCCCCCCTGGGGAGGGGGTGATTTCTCGCTTTCTGTCTTTCTCTCTGGCGAGCCCATGCAACCAATAGCAAAAACCTCTCCAAAAAAAAAAAAAATAGGGCATGGTCATGCCACGATCCCTTCTCCATCTTTCCATCTTCCTGGGATTTTGGGCACACACATACATGCATCCAATGTATTTTCCAAGCCTCTGGGGCTGGGATTTGAACTGTACAACAGGCCATGTGAGATGTAGCTCCCTTAACCATCGGGCTATGGAGCTGGCTCTCTATAATTTTTAAGTTTATTTATTTATTTACTTCAATTTTGCCAGAAGACACATACATTCCCTGGAGTGGGGGGGACATGAGATGCAGCCCCCCCCATGGGGAATAGTCATGCTGCAATCCCTTCCCCATTTCTCCCTCCTTTTGGGATTTTTTGGGCACACATGCAAATGTTCCTCCAGTGTCTTTCAAGCTGCTGGGTCCAGGTCTCGAGCCATGCAGTTGACCATGTGGGATTAGGTGCTTTAACCACCACTCTACGAGCTGGCCCTATTTATTGCTTTCTTTTATGTGTGAGAGAGACAGAGAGAAAAAGTGTGAGACAGCACTGCCAACAGGGTCTTGGCCCCACTTGCTCAAGAAGGTCTACTAGACGTGAGCCTGGAAACTTTCCATGTGAGTCAGCCTCACAGAGCAGCTCGTTTTATCCCTAGCTACCATCAGGCCCCATTAGGCATTGTTTTATTATTCTCATTCAGGGAGACCTCAAGGAGATCATTATTATGCTCTCCATCTCCCAGAACAGGAAATAACCAAGACTCAGAAAGGTTAAATGACTGACTAATATCACACAACTGCCTCGGAGACCCCTCCAGCCCCGGCACCCTCCTCACCTCAGTGTTGGAGTAGTACGTGGTCCAGGAGGAGCGCAGAGCCTCCTGCCCGCCTATGTCCCACACGAGGAAGTGAGTCTTCCGCAGAACGATCTCCTCCACATTGCTGCCAATGGTGGGGCACGTATGAACCACCTCCTTCGTCAAGCTACGGAGGCAGGGGAGGTACTGAGAGCTCAGGCCAGCTGGCTCCCAACCCTGACCCCCAACCCTCTACTCCCAAGGCAGGCTGGGTCTCACTCAGAACAACTCAGCCCACGTTGACCCAGCCTGGCAGCAGGCCAGGCTTTGCACTGGGAGACAGGAGTGAGATCAAACCCTGCCATGGCTTGATCACAGAAGTCAAAGTTGTTGGTTCAAGTTTTGACCCTAGAGAGGGACACTAACTAGAGAAGTTTCTAAGAAGTGATATGCAGTTGAATCACCTGGAATCTTGTCAAAATGTGGGTTTGTCCAAGATCCTGAGAGGAGAATGGAAGAGAAGGGATTGCGGAGTGGTCATCCTCCCTGGGGGGTGATTTCTCACTTTCTGTCTCTCTCTGTCTTTCTGATACACGCACAAACTCTATAGCAAAAACCTCTCAAAAAAAAAATGTGGGTTGGGGCTAGGCCCAAGATTTTGCATCTCTTTCTTTTTTTTCTTCTTCTTCATTTCTTTTATAGGTCATATGTGCTCATCAGAGAGAGGCAAGAAAGAGAGCAAGAGAGATGGTGAGAGGCTAAGTGAGAAATCATCCCCCCAGGGAGGATGGCCACACTGCTATCCCTTCTCTTCCATATTCTTCCTGGGATTTTGGACATGTACGCTCATGTGCTTGGTGTGACTTTCAAGCCTCCAAGGCCAGGACTCAAACCATGGTTGGCCATGCGGGAGTCTAGTGCCTCAAACACCATGCCACCTGCTGGCTCCAGGTTTTGCATTTCTAACAAGTTTCCAGATGAGCGCTCCTGAGATCAGAAACGTGAGACAGACACAGCAGGACCATCAGAGAGGTGCTTTGTTAAAGTGACACAGAAAACACACACATACATGTTTTTTTATGCAAAGAATGCTTCTTAAAGGGTTACCAAGAAGTTATAACCATGGTTGCCTCAGGAAGGAAAATTGAGAGGTGGGAGTGAGAAAGAAACATACTTCTTCCTCTATATTCTTGGACTGTTGGAATTTTCCCTACTTTTTAAAACCATTTTTATATATTACTTATTCAGGGAAAAGTTTATACCAAATAGAGTACTTTAAAGTACTTGGAGGCTCGCAAACCCAGGGCTAACACCCAAAGTGAACAGCGAGGAAAACAGACTGTTTACACAGCACCAGTGTGGGCCCTAAGCCGAGAGCCACAGAGCCCAACTCTGCCCGAAGCTGGCCCTCCCCTTCTCCCTCTATGTTTGAAGAAGGGGCAGAAAGACAACAGGCAAATGGAGGGTGCAGGGGTGAGAAAGGAGGCTAGGGGAACAGGAGCCTGTTTAGGCAGCAGGAAAAAAGAGGCAGGTTCAGCACCTGTCCCGGCAGCTGCCAGGGGTAGATGGCAGAAGACGGGGATGGAGGGGGACCTGGTTTGGCACTTGGCACAGGACCCCGCTGTTCCACCACCAAAAGGCCCACATACCAGGGAGGTCATACCAGGGTCTCCCATCACTCCCCCAGCCTATAGGTGAGCCCCGGAACCTGAGAAAAAGCTCTGATGATTAATCCAAATGCCTGTCAGTCTGATGAGAGGTTCAACCCTCTCCTCTCCCCATCTGAGAGTCACTTACAACTGGTAGAGAATGGTGGTCTTTCCTGCATTGTCCAGTCCCACGATGATAACCTTGTGCTCTGGAGGGAAAAGCAGGGTCAGGGGCAAATCCGAAGACCGAGGCACAGTGTGCTCCCACCAGACTGTCCGGGACTGTCAGTGTTCCCTGCGGAGGGGGACCTTTGGCTCTCCTGCCACCTCCGCTTCTCCAACGGGTGGCCAACAGGTGTGCCACTCTCGGACAGTGGGCTGGGCCCACCTCCCTTCTCACGTCTAGGGAAGTGCCTCGGAGAAGGGGTCAGGGAAAGA